TGCTACGATAGATGCGCTTTGAAACTATCAAGAAAGGGAAGTGACGAACGCAGTTATCCTTCTATGTAACTAACTGAAGTGACGAGTGATAACAGATACACAGGCAAATTTCTGCTCACTAATAATTCCTTCTAAGACCAAAAGTTGTTATGTGAGGCTGTGAGCGAATGTCTGACAATTCAAAAAATTAATTGAATGTCACTAGATATGGGAAAACAAGAAAAATAGAAATAGTCGGTACATCCCCTTGTTTTTATTCTTTCTATACTTAATAAAACCATAGTAATGCACGGACTTTTTCTATTTTTCTCCTTTCTCATATCTAATGACAGTCAATTTTTTTTTATATTTGGAAAGTGTTTAACCAGTTCTATCACATATATGATAATGACTGACACCAATGTTGTCCTTTAACATATCATCACTCTTCAAGTTGTCATTTGTTAACAAGGTTAATCTCATCCATTGTTTTTGTTGAATTATTATATTGTTTAATACTTTATGCATTTTTCATCTGTCGACGTGTCAGTTTTAATTACAACATTTACTTTTATCCTATTATCTGATTTTCTCTTAATTTGGACCCCTTACTATTAAGTGCAGTAAATGGCCTGTCAGTACTGACTGTATGGCAATATATGGATATTTATATTAAAGAATTTAGGAGTCATTCGAGGTCTGTTATATTCTAAGAGAGAATTTACACCTCTAAAGTATTACAAACATCCATGACATAATCATTCAAAGTCTGTTATATCCGGGGAGGTTGGATGACCGAATGGTTAGCACGTGTGCGCTTTATCATAAGGTCTGCCATTGAGTCAACTGGCGTGGTTTCGAATCCCTGGTTGTACGTGAGAAGGAGTAGGGTCGCCTGTCCAACCTCGTGGGTTTCCTCACACTGCTAAAGACCCCTACGTGCAAGCGAATTATTGAAATAAAATTAAAACCATATGTTAGTCCCGAAATGACCTAGTTTGTGTCGAGTGGACGTTAAACCCCATTTCTCTCTCTCTCTGTTATATTCTAAGAGAGAATTTACACCTCTAAAGAATTACGAACATCCATGACATAAAATATATGTGACATCAGATAAAAAAAAAACATATTAAAGTGGTAATAAAAACAACATTACTGATTGATGTCTTGTCAATTAACAGCCTCTTATCATGCTAACTGTTGAAAATGTACATTAATTTAGAAATTCTTACAGTTTAAAGGGGTATTAGGTAGGATTAGATAAAGAGCTGACAGTTTGCGCTATATTAGTTAAAAAATAGATAATGAAAACAGAATATGCTGATTATTTCAGTCAAATTGCTCCACTTTTTAGGCTAGCCTCGATCGATCGTCATTACTAACGTTGGTACGATATTAAACAAAATCTCAATTATCCATTTTTGAGTTGAATTATCCATCACAAAATTTATTCAAATCCACTAAATATCGCAGGCTAATGATAGCACCAAAAATCAGTTATAGTCAGGATAAGTTAATTGATATTTGATTAATAATTTATATAACATTTCAAGCCTAAAGAAAGACCTGCCTTAGGCAGATTTAGCTCTTGCATAATGTATGTTTAATTAAAGATACATTATGGGAGATTTTAATAGAGAGTTGGCCATTCTTGATATAACAGTTCAAAAATAGATGATAAAAGAAAAAATATTGAAAATTTCAGTCAAATTACTTTATTCTGAACAAAGTTATCACTATTGTAATTTTTGACTAGAAATAGGAGTCAACTCTCTCTACACCGTCTCCGAGAATGGACGATCGGTTGATTGATAGGCTTTAACTCCACCTACATAATCTTGATTATCAAGTAACGTTTTCAATGGCTGTGGTTTGAGACAGGGTTGTAATTCAATTCGTATCACATTTATTTTTACTACAAATTAAAAATAAGACTTTTAATATATAGATAAGAAGCGAAAATTTGAAAGGAATGGACCAAATCAATGAGGCATAATTATAGCCGACTTCTTGTTAGCCTGCGTGTACTCTTGTACTGTAACTGGTAGGCCTGAGTAACTCCCGAACAGTGATCCAATGGAGCTGCAATTCAACTTGGGTGATGTTAGCTGCGATGTTTATCAATTTATATAATTTTTCTGTAAACGCAAGTGACAAATCGGGCCTAAAGAAAGACCTGCCATTTGCAGATTTAGCTCTTGCAAAATGCATGTTTAAGCCCCAGTACTTGCAATATTTTTGAATAATACCTATTGTTTATCTCTCGAAGGAGGGGTGTGTGTCACGGTGGCTAAGTGGGTAAGACGCTGGCTTGCTAGTCTGGATGTAGGGTGTTCGATCCCTGCATTGGCCAAGAAAGTTCACCCAGATTTTTCGGCATGGTTCTCCCTTGTCAGTGATGCAGGACAGAGGGCCTGACAAATACAGCTGCATAGTCGTTCAGATGGGATGAAAAACCGAGGTCCCGTGTACACATTGCCGTGCACGTAAAAGATCCCTTGGCAGTTGGAATTCGATATAAGAGTAGGCCATAGCTCAGCTGCCCGGTTAAAATTTCCCACATAGCACACTGTATGGTGTATGCTCGTCTTCATTAGCCCAGTATAGGAGCAGAACAGTAGGACATTAAACCCCATTTCATTTAGCTGTGTCGAATTATCAGAGCCTACGATAGAATCACAAAACTGAAGAGTTTTAAACATACATTATGCAAGAGCTAAATCTGCCTATTGTAGGTCTTTCTTTAGGCCTGATACATGTATGTTATATAAACTATTAATTAGACATTTATTAACAAAACAAGACCATAATCAACTCTCGATGTCAACGCCAGCCTGCAATATTTGTTGGATTATGATCCGATTTGCTGCATAACTTTCCTTCTCGATTAAACGATTAAATAGATATCGAGACTATGATTTTTGTCCTACCGACGTTCGTAATGATGACCGAGGCAATGCAGAACTTTCGATGCTTATTTCTCGGTTCATGGTGGATCAATTTGACTGAAATTTTCAGCAAATTGCCTTTACATTATCTAGTTTTTAACTACTATAGTGAGAACTGCCAACTCGTTATCTAATCTCCCATAATGTATCTTTATTTTGTAATCTTATTTTTATTTTTTTCTTGTTACTGAAGAAATTATATAAGGATAAGCCTGTGTTAATTACTTTGAAGCGATGTTACAAGAGTTTTAATTTGTAATCTTATTTTTATTTTTTTCTTGTTATTGAAGAAATTATATAAGGATAAGTCTGAGTAAATTACTTGATTAATTGATATTACCTGTAATTGTCATGAACTATCCTTCACCTTCTGGTGTAATCAACACCTGTCTAATTAAACATAAATTATACAAGAGCTAAATCTGCCTATTGCAGGTCTTTCTTTAAGCCTGAAATGTTATATAAACTATTAATTACACATTTATTAACAAAACGAGACCATAATCGACTCGCGATAGCATCGAATACTCGAGATTTTAACTAGATTAAAACGATTCAGCCATATGATACTTTAGAGATTTTATTACGATCTTCTCAGGTGAATAAATGTCTAATAATAATTTATGTAACAGAAGCCTGAAAGAAAGACCTACAATAGGCAGAGATAGCTCTCCGTGGGATAATGACTCTTTAAAGATACATTAGTTAAAAGGACAATATTGGTGCCAGTCATTATCACATATGTGATAGAGCTGGTTAAACACATTCCAAATATAATTTTAACACAGAGATCATTGCTACGATAACTGAGTAATACAGGTTTCCTGAATCTGAAGTGACGAATGCCAAAGGAAAACACCAGTCATCTCTCTATATAACTGACTGATGTGACGAGTGATAATGGATATACGGGCAAATTTCTGCTCACTAATAATTCCTTCCAAGACCAAAAATTGTTGTGTGAGATTGTGAGAGGATATCTGACAATTCATAAAAAGAATTGACTGCCACTAGATAAGTGAACACGAAAGAAAAACAGAAAAAGTCTGTGCATTACCATGTTTTTATAAGGTATAGAATGAATATAACCAAGGGAATGTACGGACTATTTCTATTTTTCTCGTGTTCTCTTATCTAATGACATTCAATTACTTTATTGAATTGTCAGGTATCCTCTTACAGTCCCATATAACAACTTTTAGTCTTCGAAGAAATTATTAGTGAGCAGAAATTTGGCCGTGTATCTGTTATCACTCGTCACATTAGTCAGTTACATAGGTGAGATGACTCGTGTTTTCCTTTGGCGTTCGTCATTTCCGATTCAGGAAACCTGTATTACTCAGCTATCGTAGCAATTGTCAGGTATCCTCTTACAGTCCCATATAACAACTTTTAGTCTTCGAAGAAATTATTAGTGAGCAGAAATTCGGCCGTGTATCTGTTATCACTCGTCACATCAGTCAGTTATATAGAGAGATGACTCGTGTTTTCCTTTGGCATTAGTCACTTACGTTTCAGGAAACCTGTATTACTCAGCTATCGTAGCAATGATCTCTGTGTTAAAATTATATCTGGAATGTGTTTAACCAGCTCTATCACATATGTGATAATGAATGGAACCAATATTGTCCTTTAATAAAGAGTTGGTCATTCTTGCTATAATAATTCAAATAGATGATAAAAAAAGAAAATATTGAAAATTTCATTCAAATTACTTTATTCTCAGCCAAGTTATCATTGTTTGTAATTTTGACAAGATGTGTGCACTGTGGTAAGCAGGGCACTGGTATAATCGGGACTTAACCTCGCTTTCCCGTTTTTAAATTAAATTTTAAAATGGCGAACCATTTTAATCTAGTTAAAATCTCAAATATCCGATGCCATCGAGAGTCGATTATGGTCTTGTTTTGTTAATAAATGTCTATTTAATAGTTTATATAACATTTCAGGCCTAAAGAAAGATCTGCAATAGGCAGATTTAGTTCTTGCATAATCTATGTTTAAGCTTTAAAATAGAAAATCAAGAATTTTGTTTATAAAGCATATCTTTATTTTATTTTGTTTTTATTTCAGCATCAATGTTTTTGAACACACTCACCCCCAAGTTTTACGTGGCTTTGACGGGTACATCATCACTTATATCCGGCCTGATACTTGTAAGTAAATTTAATTTCTACATTTTATTTTATTCACTTTTAGAAATTTATTTATACATTCTTAAAATACAGCATCTTATTATTCTGTTCGAATTCGAGGGGGGTTAGCTTGTATTTCATAAGGTCTGTCATTGAGTCAAATGGCAAGGTTTCGATTAGCCGGCTTGTACGTAACAAGGAGTTGGGTCGCCTGTCTAACATCGCGTGTTTTCTTCGAGTCCTCCGGTTTCCTCCCACTGCTAAAGAACCCTACGTGCAAGCGAATTATTGAAATAAAATTGAACTGTATGTTAGTCCCGAAATGACCTAGTTTGTGTCGAGTGGACGTTCAATGCCATCTCTCTCTCTCTCTCTCTCTCTTTCTCTCTCTCTCTGTTCGAATTCAATGCCATCTCTCTCTCTCTCACTCTCTCTCTGTTCGAATTCATTTAGTTGCGTGAAACTCATCTGGCTGACTGTTAAACTCCATTTCTCTCTCTCTCTGTCTCTCTCTCTCTCTCTCTCTTCAATTAGTTGTATGAAACACCTCTGGCTGATGCCCACTAGACTCAGTGTGCATGTGAAACCTTTTCCTCTCTTGATTAGCGATGAGTCAGAGGTCACCTTTTGAAATGTCATTACTAGTCACTGAAAGAATAAATTCTGTGGCGTCACTGCAGGGAATCTTTGGATGTGACTGACTGAAAGTCTGTATTGAAGGATTCCTGATTAAATATTTTAACACGAAAAACTGAAATATTTAACAGTCATTAAATTTGAAGAAATGAAATAAAATATGGCATTTTACGTCGTACATATCTTCACAAACTGATCTAATGACGTTGAGCATAGCCATTCAGTGTCCTCTAAGGGGCATTTTGCCCAGCTAGCAACAATACTGTCAAGGGCCCTTTTATATTCACACCAACGTATATGTGAGTGGATCGTAGTTTCTCATACTATTTGAAATGCTTAACACTTTTTCCTTGTCAGCCCCCCCCCCCCTATCGTACATCACTGACAAGGCTGAAAACCAGAATGGAGAATTATTATAGAACGCAAGGCCTCTTAGTTAGTAAGCCACCATTCACTTGAATACACCAACATTTCATTGTGGTCTTATTGTCCTCAAAATATAAGGGAGTTGGGGTGGCCGAATGGTTAATCTTGAAACCTACCATGGTAATCTTGAATCATACACGGTTAATCTTGAATCATACCAGGTTAATCTTGCCATATTAATCTTGAATCATACCAGGTTAATCTTGCCATATTAATCTTTAATCATACAAGGTTAATCTTTAATCATGCCATATTGATCTTTAATCATGCCATATTGATCTTGAATCTAAGGTTAATCTTGAATCATACCATATTGATCATACCATATTAATCTTTAATCATACAAGTTAGTCCGTAATCATGCCAAATTAATCTTTAATCATGTCATATTAATCTTGAATCATACCTTGGAAAATCATACCATATTAATGTACTCATAGTCATTGCGAATGCACTTAAAAGTAGCCTTGACAGTTGGAATTGGATAAAGAGTAGATGGTAACTATACTCTCAAAGTATATATACCATCTTCATTATCTGATTCGGTACAAAAAAATCAGACTTTCAATTCCACTTCATTTTCCATTAAGAAGGTCATATTGATGCATTTATTTGGAGACAATTGTTATCTTGAAAGAAGGAAATCTAAGTTTGAATTCATTACCAGCTTAATATATGTTTAATAAAAACAGTGGCAAGCTCTAACTAGTCTTAAAGTGTATTAGAGAAAGAGAGTATCTTCACACCAGCCAGTTGATTTATTATGGCTTAATATCTCCCCATATCCCACTACTAATAGCACCATCATTTACCGATAGCTTTTCCCTTGGTTTATTAAACTGTCTACAAGAATAATGTCAAAGTTTGCTTTTACCCACTTTTTATGTCAAGAATAACCTAATATGGGTCTTAAAATACCAGAACTAGGAGCTGCTGCATCAGGAGTATAGTCATTTTGCGAGTTTCTCGTTTCAAGGCATGGGAGAGAAAAATCAATAGAGATATGTTGACGTCATCCAATCTATGTTTATGGCATTGATTTTCTTTAACTGGGTTCTGTATTAAACAAGGCATATTATTATAACCCTGAAAAATGAAATAGGAAACATGAGGAAAAACTCATATTTCAATTATCTTCTTACGTGAAGACGTCACAAATTTAAGATCATTAATAAATACTGAGTCTGAATCTTCTTTTAATTCACACTGTACTTAACACGCCGTTTATATGGGGTGCAGGACGGAGGCCTTAACAGTTAAAATTAGAAATAATAATAGGCTGTAGTGCTGCTGTCTGGGCACATACATGTGTATGTAGAAGGTTTAACCTCATTTCATTTCAATTTGTATACTGGTAGCTGGTACACATGGAGTTTATAACATCTTGAAGGAAGGGGTGTAGCAGCGTGGCCTCTCTTGGTACAGAGTACACATTGGCATGCACTTAGGGAACTCTTGACAGAATTCGAAATAATATATAGCTTAATGTAGGATATTAAACCCTCATTTCATTTCATTTTGTATACACATGCAGTTTATACCAAGTGTGGTTTATTCAGTAATTGATAGAATTTAAAGATGTAAGATTTTGATAAAAGAGTTGGCCATTATTGCTATACTACAGTTCAATAAAAAATAAATATTTTCTCAGGGAAGTTATTCATGTTTGAAGTTTTAATAAGATGTACATAGATAGTCAGGATTGTCAAGTACATTGTTACGATATTTAACAAAGTCTTGATTATCCATTTTAACATTAAATTATTAAATAGCGCAGGTATTCTATTCCATTTAATATCTCGGCCTTCTTTGATTATGTGCTGGTCATTTGAGTTATAAGTGTTGGAAGTTTTAACAAGATGTACCGTAGATAGTCACAATTGTCAAGTACATTGTTACGATAATTAACATAGTCTTGATTATCCATTTTAACATTAACTTTTTAAAAAGCACGGGTGTTTATTCCATTTGAATAAATGTCTAAAAAATAATTTATATAACATTTGAAGCCAGAAACAAAAACCTGCACTAGGCAGATTTAGTTCTTACATTATGCATCCTTAACATTTAAAATATCAGGATCAATATTATCCAGAATGTCTTTTGTTGCGTTAAAGTTCTAGAGATAAAAGTCTTCTTTTGTATAGTTAATCGGTAAAGTAATGGATGTTGGTGAGTGCAGTAAATTGTCTATTTTTATCTTTGAAGTGGGAGTTTGCTCAGGGAAGTAATAATTTATAAAACTAGGAAACTAGATATAATTTTCTTCTCTGCACCAGAACAAAATGAGTATATTTTAATTGCGTGGGACAGGAGAATACTCTCAATTTGAATGAGTTTTCGTCCACGAATTTCTTTAGATAACAATAACGGTGACATTTACTAGAATCGACTAGATTGAATATTCATGATATATGTCACTGGCAGTCCCTGAATTTGAGATTGTCTGTTACAAAGGATAGACATACGAGTGACAGTTAATTTTTAGATACAAAATAAAAAAAAATCTACTAAAAATGAAATGAAATGGGGTTTAACGTCCTACTGTTCTGCTCCTATACTGGGCTAATGAAGACGGGCATACGCCATACAGTGTGCTATGAGGGAAATTTTGCCCGGGCAGCGGCACTATCGCGTACTCTTATATCAAATTCCGACTGCCAAGGGATCTTTTACGTGCATTCCAATGTATACCTCGGTTTTTCGTCTCATCCAAAAGACTAGACAGCTGTCCTTGTCAGGCCCTCCGTTCTGCACCACTAACAAGGGGAAACCACGTCGGAAAATCCAGATGAACTTTCTCGGCCAATGCAGGGATCGAACACCCGACCTCCAGGCTAGCAAGCCAGCGTCTTAACCACCTAGCCACCGTACTAAAAACATTGCTGTATCTAAGCTTATTGAAATGTCAGGGGTTATCCATTAAATAGCCAACAAGTTCCTTAATAAAGGAGAATGATGAAATTTTGAACTTTTATAAATACTATGTATTATAAGGTCATGGTAGATAACTCAATTCGAACACTACGCTGTAAATACTATGTATTATAAGGTCAATGTAGATAACTCCATTCGAACACTACGCTGTAAATACTATGTATTATAAGGTCAATGTAGCTAACTCCATTCAAACACTACGCTGTAAAATGTAGATTATATTCTCATGTTTGGTAATATCTTTTGATGGGCCCCTTTTTTAATCCAGGGGGGTTGGATGGCAGAATGGTTAGCACGTGCGTGCTGTATCATAAGGCCTGTCATTGAATCAACTGGCGTGGTTTCAAATCCCCGGTTGTACGTAACAAGGAGTATGGTCGCCTGTCCAACCTCGTGGGTTTTCTCCGGGTCCTCCGGTTTCCTCCCACTGCTAAAGACCCATACGCGCAAGCAAATTATTGAAATAAAATTAAACCATATGTTAGTCCCGAAATAACCTAGTTTGTGTGTAGTGGACATTAAACCTCCCTCTCTCTCTCTCTCTCTCTCTCTCTCTCTCAATCCAATCTAAGTCGGGAGATTATCTACTGATCAACTTAAGTAGATTTTAGCGGGGATTTAGCCTTGAGTAATTAGATATTATCCCAACCCGATTAAAACACATCCTATTTCGTTTCGTTTTTTCTAGTTCAATATTTCGATTTGCTTGTCTTTGTAACCAACTTGAATTTTAATTCAATACGTTTTCTAGTCATTTTCTGTTCAATCATATTACATGTACATGTCAATTTTCAATCTGTATTTTTTATAGTCAATAAAGAAATCTCCGTGAAAGTCTTTACTACACTAGGATCGGGAAGAGTTGTTATATAAGCCGCATTCTGATTAGCCAATAAAACCACTAGAAATATCAACGCTGGTTGATTAATCAATGTCTGACATCATAGGGTCAAAAGTCGCACATATGACCTCTGACATGACCTTCCCTTACAACCGATCAGATATTCATGTAGTGTATAGGC